AAGATCCTCAAACACTGCTACGGCTATATTGAACGATTGGAAATTGGGAGCAGAAACACGGCCGCGTCTGGCGTCTGGGACGTAGGTTTCCAATCACTGCAGTGGACCTTCGAACACATTTAAATCAACTGTTAAAATTACTCGCCGCCCCACCCTGGATGATTCGTGGGAATCTAGCAAGGCTATGCTAAGCGATCGGTCTCTGCGAGGCTCAGCAAACCAAGGGCCGAACCCCCGTTGCCTGAGCCATGGCCGGAAAGTGCAAGGACTAAAATGGCCTCTGGTGGACGTGGTCAAGTCTGGCAAAGCCACGGGTGCACCCACGTTCCTTGTCCGGCTTAATTGAATTGGCACTTGACATGTTCAGCGGCTGCCAGTGGTATGATTGTCCGTGGGACACGATGTCACCCATTCATGCTCCAAATCGTAGTGTACTTCTTCGAAAACAACATGTTTGTAAGATACCATGTGAGAGAATGATTTGTTTATTTGTCGCAACCCCGCCCGGTAGAGTTATTGCAAAGCTTGTTTCTTAACATCATGTTACTTGCTATGACTGCGTGGAATATTTCGGCAGCACAACATCTCGCAGCTGCACCAGGGTCCCACGCATTCCATGTGCTATCCTAGATCCACAATTGCCTACGTAGCTGAATGCTGCCCAGAGCTGGACAATCCTTGAACTTGAGGAACGTGCCTCTTACATCACTTCTGTTTCCTCCCTGGACTGCAAACAGATATGATGGGAATCCGCTGGAAGTCGCGGCCATGGATCGATTTGTCCTTTATTTCTTCCCGGAAAAGCGGTAAGGATGGCCGTCGTCGCCACACTGCCTGCATCAAGTACTAGAAAGAACAGTGTGAAATCACAATGGGGCAATAAAACCCAAATTTGACCTTGGCTAGTTTGCCCGCCATGTCAACAAACCTCATCATGAAAGTTCGCAACACGGCTTGAACAGCCAACTGGCCGGAGAAACAAACTCCTGTTCCTTAGCGTCTTTGTGATATTCATTAGCCGAACCATATGTTTCGTAGGCCTTCGTCCGATGTCTTGGCTGCGAGCTGGAAAGGGCTGACGCTCCAGGTAGAGCTTCTGAAGCCTATGCCGATGGTGACGGCCGGCTTTCAGTGCTCAGAGGAAATGCTGTTTCAACATACACTGCATAGATATGTCGTTTGGCGCTTGCATTTTGAATCCCCTCATAACGCACTGCTACTCACACAACTAGGTGGCCAGAGATTTGAATAGCTTCCAAACACCCAAATTCAATGTTTGCAGATGTTTGCAGTATGCTACAGTATGCTGGCTTGTGCCACGCATTCTCCATCATAGTCTGAGAGGGCGGCTTCTTCTCCTAGTGTGGTGACATACTATGTTTCTACATATCCGCGTACTGACCATGTCCCTCCTGCTTTAATCAGGTGCACGCACATCTAATTTACTCAACAACCAAGAATAACAAGACCGATCAGCATCATCACCATCATCATCATCACCACCATCGTCATCGTCATCGTCATCGTCATCGTCATCGTCATCGTCATCGTCATCATCATCATCATCATAAATCTCATCATCATCGACACCACTACCGGCACCGCCACCGGCACCGCCACCGGGCCCGCTACCGGCACCGCTACCGCCAGCAACACCAGCAGCCCTGAAGGAAGCACAGAAGCTACTGAAAACAGCCATTCAAAGGGCTTCAAGGCAGCACCTGGGCCAATGGCACGGAGCAAAACCACCGGCAATGTTCACACCCCCGCACTGGGCTCCCGAGCCGAGACTCGCCATCATTGTCGAAGGATTCCCTGGTACCCTCGGGGTCAATGCGAAGTCGGCTGCATTAACATCATGCCAAGACTGGAGCAAGCATTTACGAATCTATATATATATATATATATTCATACATACATAAATATGTCATACCCATGAATAGAATGCCATGGGCAGTAGTTGTTTTCAAGGCTCCGGAGTTCATGGTGGAGGCTCTCTCTGCATGCAATCCTTGGCTCCCGCTTGTGCGGTATGGGGGACTCCCAGAAAATTTGCCTCATCAGAGATTCCTCCTTGGCCTGGGACCCAATCACAAGACTCCTCATGCTGAGTTGCCGCGTCCAGGGGAAAAGTAACTTTCAGCCGTTTGATGCTCATAAGAGATCAACTGGACAGGAGAGAACATGCCCAAACCTGTGAATTGTGACCAGTGATTCCAAGCACCTGTCACTGTTAATTTGTACCTTCAGGCCTCAAAGAGCAGCTTCGGTTATCTTCTGCTGGTTTTGGAACCTCCCTAACATTCACAATCGATTCTGTCACGACTGGCAGCTTGAACCTCAGCAATCCCCGTGAAGACCCCTCTCTCACGAGGAGCCTGCACATTACACGACTTGCGGCTGCAAAAACGAAGGATGGTGGAAATCACCTTGAGCTCCAAGCTGAGTCCACCCGATGCGCCCAGCGATCGTGATCGCGCTTGGCATTGCCGAACATGTTCTGCGCATGCCACGTGTCTCAATTGCGAACATTCCATACCCAACCGTCCCAAACATCTCGGGTTTTCTCGGCCATCCCCGCTTCCCCGACCATCACGACCGTCCCAACCGTCCCAACAGTCCCAACCATCCCAACCAGAGCCCGTCGCGTCTGGACACATCATCCACACTCAAGCCATCCCGTCGAATCCTGACCAAAGCATTCCTGACCGTCCCTGCCATCATGACCGGCTTTGGTTTCCGTCAGGCCCTTTCTGATTCAAAGTCGGGACAAAGAGAATGCGAAACGTGTCATGAGCTGCGTTTTCAATGGGTGGCTGGGCCGCACCCAACGATATTTCCCATGTGTGTATGTGTGTGTGAGAGAGAGAGAACGTAGTGATACGTCGTGTGATTGATGCCGTTGGGTTGAAAACAAATGCGATGCCGCTGGATAGAGCGATAATGCAATAATCCACTTGTATCAAAAGGACAACTTGCATGAGGGCATACCTACAGCAGGTGATCCCAGTCAAATGCTGTTGTGGCTATCGAATCTCGGAGCCACCAAATTAAGTGTCTTCGTGGGCCTCTGCATACCTTGTGGATCAACGGATGTTGACAAATCCTCCAATCAACGCTGGCCTTCAGATCTCCCAAGCCGTTTTGCATTACATGGAGCCTTCAAAAAAAATCGAAATGGCTGTAACAAGCCTGGACCTGGGTGGGATGATGTCTAGGCATGCTGGGGGGGTCTGGGAACTCCAGCAAAAAAGCGTCAGGGCCTACAGCGGGTTGCATGTCGCACTCTCCAAGTCAAAACTGAAAGTGGCACCAAGCTGAGGCAACCAAATGCATTCTAAAGTTTGAAGGGGATTGCAAATATCAAATCATGGCAGGGGCCAAATGGTGGAGAAACCCTCAGAAATGAAAGCAGAGTTGGGTAGTGCCGTAAGGGATCTTGGCAGTCAATGCTCATGCAAGCATCTTGCCATGCAGGTTTATCCAACGTTTGAACTTTGAAACTTGCAAAACTGGCATGCTAGAAACACCCATAGCATTTCTGGAACACTGTCTATCCAAAACACAGGGAAGCCTGCTGAACGGCTCGCATTCTTTTGCCGCGGGTTGGCCTCTATTGGGCCCGGCGCACGGGCGCTTTACATTGTCTGCTCCTTGCACGGACAACTTGCAGCAAAAGCGAACATCTCTTACAGTCCAAGTGGCCGATGTCAAAGAGCGGCGGCAGGAATGCAAGTATCAAGCAAAGAACGATGGGAATCAGCTCAAAGCGGGGATGGGCATCCATAGAACCGCCAAGGCTGTGGACACAGGTCATCTGTCTTGCAGCAAAACCAAGTCTGGGAATCAAATGTCATGCAATGTAAATGCCGGCGTTCAGCTTTCGCCAAACGCCCAATGGCAAGATAGCACAAAATGTGTTTGGATCACAGCCGAATAGAGCATGCAAAATGCGACCACATCTAATCAAACTTGAATGTGGTCTGATCGGATATTTTACGGCCGTAGTGGCAAGTGCAAAATGGTGTGTGGGTCTGGAGTGACATTTGGCCAACGCAGGCAAGCATCCGTGCAAGGCTCACTGAACCATCCGTGCAACCTGTGCATTCTGTACAAGCAAGTTTCACTTGCATGTGAAAATAAAGAAAGTGGTGGCTCAATAATTAGCCTCCATCAGTCTCCATAGCAGATTGTTGCCTGGCCCCAACTGAATGGACGCCAGGTCAGTAGAGATGCTGGCAATAGGCCAATCAAAAAGAAAGCTGAGTGGCGAGTTACTACGGCCCCTGGGTCACCTTGCGGAAAGCTGCCACGGAGATTGTGAAAATGCCAGTGTTCTATATGGCATGTTCAGGAATGGACTGAGTCCATAGCTCCCGAAACCTTCCTGAACATGCGATTGACTTGTGCAAACGTCCTAGGATCTCTTGTCCAACAGCAGCGCTACAACCGCCATGACTTTTAGCATACAAATCAGCGTAGATTTAGGCTTCGGTTGAGGCACCGCTGCGAGGAACGTTTTGACTTGGCTGCGCTTCGCGCAAATTGTTGGCCCAAGCTCAGTGCTTATATGTGCTGGCTAGGCTGCCCGCCGTGCTGGGCTGCGGCTGCAAGCACATATGTCAATCTGGTCAAACACTGCTTGCAAATACAAAACAAACAAACAAAAACATATTCTGACTTGAGCAACTGAGGTCAGCATTGGGCCGCAGCTGACACTGTCTGGCGGGGCTTCCCAGATCTCCTGGGAGCATAGCCGCGTGCAACCTCGAGCGAAACCATGTTCTCGGGCCGGATCTCAAACGGTCGGCCCAGACAAAAAACCGTGAAAGTCATTGGTAGTCCAGCACCTCCACTGAAATCTCGCAGCCCTTGCCGTCAATAGACTGCTTGAAGTCCCAGTCCACTTCTTCGCCTACAACAAAAGGCAAAGCAGGCGCCTAGCAACGAGGTCTTGTGGCCGATCACTTATACTTTTCACAAATAAGGAACGGCAATCACTGTTGGCTAGTTAAATTGCAATGCCGCTGACAGTTCTTGTGCAAACATACACAAGTTGAGCAATCTTGAATGCAAACTGGTTCTATCGCAACACAATATGAGAACCAGTGGTTTGCAAGAACAGAGGGTGAGCTGACAGAGGTGCACCAAGGGATGAGCCACACAAACAAGTGGCCATGGGTCAAAATCCCGTACCCCAGTGAACATCCCAATCCCCCTAAAATAGACTAAAATGGGTGGTGCACCTATCCCAAAATGGTATCATTGGTTTTGACCCACAGCCAAGTGGACCTGTCCAACTTTGCGGCTGTCTTCATGATTGGGACAAGCAGCATTGTTTGTTGCATGGCACGTTGGGTCGCTCAACAAGCGGGCCGTCCTGACATCATGGATACGTAGAATTCACACGAAGTTGCCTGTTGAGCATGGAATGGCGCGTCACAGAGTGTGGCCTCTTTCATGGGAACAAAGAACATCAGCCCCACAATATTTTGCCACATTTGCAACCCTACTGCAAATCCTCGCGGCCAGTCCACCTGCTCATGCCTCTTGCCTCAATGAAACAAAAGCGGCAAGCTTGCCTCTCAGATTCTGCCGGTTGACCACATTCCAGGACTCTCAGCGTGCTCTGTGACTCCTATATGCACACACGCCCGCACGCACACGCGCAAACACACACACACACACACACAGACACGCCCGGATACAATAGAGAGATCAATCTTGTTTCCGGCTTTCCAATCTGGCAAATCGAAAGCAGGGCCAAGCCCAGCACCACCACCATCCACCTCAAACAAAATGCAGCACGTGCGGTCAAGGGCCGAGAGGCCGTTCTTCAGGAGGCAGCAGGTCTTGTCCGCGAAGTTGTGCCAAATTGCCGTAGGGGCCTCCTGTTTTCGGCTTCCGTGACCCATCGAGATGTTGAGGGTCACAGCGCCCACCTTGGCTACCGTGCAGAAGCGCTGCAAAATGCTGGTCCAAGCCAAGCACACAAACAAACATACTTGGATAGTTGTCGGCAAATGTGCCATTGTTGCGTCCATCGTTTCTCCAAGTTTCCTGCAGCGGAATGAAGCATACAACCAGTACTGCAAGAAGTCAGCACCATTTGCCATCTAAATTCCTTTATACTCATAAACATAGCAAGCACCACTCTCTGACACCAAGAAGCATTTGGTGGCACTGCCGATTGGCACTTCAGCTCCTTGGTCGCTTCGGGCCTTCTGGCATGCTTGGCTCTTTGTGTTATCATGCTTCTGGTTTAACCTTTTCACGGGGGAAGCCTTGTGTGAGTGCGCCATTACCAAGTGGCCACGTACCTCATATTTGGGACTTGGCAAGCTGTGATGGAAAACTATCCTTAAAGCGTGCCCCAGCCCATAAATGTGGAGAATGTGGACCCTGCAGGTCTGTGCAAATGCAAACTAGCTCGTCCAAGACAAGATCAGTCGCGGGAGTCAAAAGGGACAGGTTAACAAGTTCCGGGGTTGGTAGCTCCAATTGGTTTCAAAGCAACTTAAATGTTTTTATTTTTATTTTTATGTTTGTTTGTTTAAAGAAAAAAAAAAAAAAACAGCCTGCGGTACTCTGATCTTGGCCAAAGTGCCTCTAGCCTCAGCACACACAGACACACACACACATACCCGAAAGCCGCAAAGAAGCACTGACCAAACGCAAGGTAATCAACTAGTGTTGGAGCCAGCAACCCGAAATCAATCCTTGCTCTGCTCAATCCCGAACATCGAGTCTTCCGCACAAGCAATGTCGGGCTACAACGATGACAGCCATCGCGTCATCTGGCGTTCAAACCAGTAGGCTGCCGGCAAAGATGAAAGAATGAAACAATGCCCTTCCCATCCAAGGCTTGCCATGTGCAACCATGGTTGTCAGATCATCAGTCGTTGCCAACGTCATCATCATCGTCATCATCATCGTCATCATCATGGTCATCATTGCAATCGTCGTCAGCGTCATCAACATCGTCATCGCCATAGTCATCGCCATCGTCATCGTCGCCATCATCGTCATCATCATCATCATCATCATCATCATCATCATCATCATCATCATCATCATCATCATCATCATCATCATCATCATGATTGTCATCATCACGGTGCTTGCAACGTGTGGACAAACTGTAGGCTGTAGGCGTGGCCACCCTTGATCCAGAAACTGCCACACAGAACATTAACGTTGCTTGCTTCTGCTGCGTTCGCTGCCCGGTTGGCACGAGCAGTTCTTGTGTCATTTGTGCAGCATTCGGTAGTGAAAGCTCGTCTACGCTGCCGAGGAAGCCAGAACAGGGCTGTGACGTGTAACAAATGGAATCTTGACCTGCTGCTCACTGCGCATCAAGCCACACAGACACATGGACAGAAAGACAAACACACACACACACACACACACACACATTCGCCCGCGCCCGAGTGCAAGAAGGCGTCCTGGGGCCTTTCCGGAATGCCGCGGCGGGTTGATCACTTGATGTGAAAAACAAAA